ACCAGGCTGCCTTCCAATGGAAGTCAACATTGTTGAAAAACAACCTGTATAATACCTTCAAAAATGCTCAACAATTTTCCAGACAAACATATCATTGTTGTTGTTGTGGGGTTTTTTTGAAGAAAAACTATATATTGTGACCACTATGCTGGCCTAGTAGCATCATCTGCAATAGACAGATAAACCTTCTGGCTATTCTGCTCAGTCTTCATTAAAAAAAGACATAATAGAAATATAATAGCTTGTGTTTAAAATGCTGTATTAATATCACTTTGACCTGAGCTACATTATCAAATCACCTTTTTAACGAACATGTCATAGGAGTGTTACTCTTCTGGTGAGGCAAAAGGCCTGCTTCACCTTTCTCAAACAACCCAATTCCTCCCAAGCATGCCGGAAAACAGTAATTTGACTACTGTGACAAGACAAGAAAGAGTTAACCATTCGAACACCTGCTCGGAGTCTCTCAAGAACTGCATATCCAGGAGTGGATTTTTTTTATTATATTCACTGTGATGAAAAACCATATTATTGATGTTAATAGTAAAGTATCTTTTATGTGCCATGGTCTGTACAAAATGTAGTAGTGTATTAACTTCAAAGGTGGTAAGAAGATTAAAACAAATAGTTCATGGGACGTGACATGCAACACAGCATTAAAGATATAAGACTGAACAATCCCAGTGCCTTGGCAGGAACCTTTTATATTTTTGTTAATGAGGGAAATTCTTAAAATCCAATCCAGCAAGCATAAGTGTAAGGAAAAGCTTTAAAATCATATCACAACGAGTAATTTAGTGAGCTAATCATCAAAGCATTTTTTATGGCAACAGAAAGGGGGCTTTACTTATCAAAATCAATACAACTCACTTTAAGAGATATTTATGCTGTTTTTAACGCCTAAAAGGTGCCCCTCGCATTTAACATATCTGGAAGAAAAAAAAAGTCCTAAAATCATACCATCAGTTTCCAAGAGTCACCCCTCCCCCCACCCCAGAATGCAACCATCCCAAGAACCTGGGACTCTTACTAGGATCTTGGCAGCATTCTATTTCCCCAGTGCTAAGTTAGAAAGAACATGACAAAGGCTGGTGACACGGAAACAGGAAGTTCCCTACTGGAAACTGGCAGGGGGAATTGCCATTCCCTTACAGTTGCTGCACGACTTTACTGAGGTCCTAGTTTCTCTCTCTAACCCAGGGGGTCTCAACGTGTGGTCCTGGGAACTGAGGCAGCAACGCCAGGGAGCTTGTTAGAAATGCAAATTCACAGCCCCACCCCAGACTGACTGAATCAGAAACTCTGGGAATGGGGCCCAGCAATTTGTGTTTTAACAAGCACTACAGGAGATTATGATGTACTCTAAAGTTGGAGAACCACTCTTCTTCAAACTTTAACGTGCGGAAGAATCACCTGGGGAGCCTGTGAAAATGCAGATTCCAATTCAGCCGGGCTGAGGGGCGACCTGAGAGCCTCCATTTCAGAGCAGCTCCTAGGTCGGGTCTAATGCAGACCACACTGCATGGGTTTCTGGAAAACTAGTTGTTTACCAGAATTACCCAGGGTGCTTATAAAATATGGGTTCCCAGGCACCACCCCAGGCCAAATTAATCTGAATCTCAGGAGAGAGGACTAGGTGAATACGGTACGACCAGTGGTTCTGTGCCTCAGCTGCACGTTCAGAATCACCTGAGGAGCTTTTTATAATCCTGAGGTCCAGGCCCCATCCAAGACCAATTAAATCGGAATCTCTGGGCTTGTGACCCAGGTCTCCACATTTTAAAATAATTCCCCAGTGGTTCGAATGTGCGGCCCGAGTGGGGAACTGCTGCTCTGGAGTCTGACTGGCTGCACACCTGGCGCAGTGGGTCCCTTTAGAGTAGCAAATGATTTCCTATAATGTGGCTCTCTGGGTTCCCACATACGAATCCAAGAGCTCGGGTTTTGAAGAGTAAAATGCACCTCGAGTCATTTGTAAAATCACATCTCAAACCTGATTTCTGTGAGCAAATGTGCCTGGAGAACTGAGACGAAGGATTTGGTAATGGAGTCCTCACTTTTAACATGAATGTCACGTGTCCTCCGTTGAGCAAGTTGCCGCTGTCCTCCCAAGCTGTAGCTACTGCTATCTCGTGTGCAGTGAGGTAGGTGCTCCAACAAACGGCAGCCAACAGTGAAGAGTTTGTATCCCTACAGCCTGTTCACATGTTGGCATCCCTTCCCCAAACCTGAAAGGGATAGAGGAGATTTCTAATAACCCTTCAGAATGGGAGGGTAACTGCTCAATGGAGAACTTCTGAACCTATACAAGGCAGATTTCACTACTTACAGACGTGTTGACAGAGAAGGTTCTGGGAAGGGATGAAAGCAGTGTGTTTTTACACAGGAGAATCTGATTTGTTGAAAGCATGACTTCTGGGGTAGGGGGAGCAGAGACAAGACCTGGAACACTGCTGCTTATGACGGGATACTAATAACTCGGGGTGGAGGGAGAAACAGGTCTATTTACAGCTTATGCCCCCAGCATGAAGGCACTAATAAGTACACGATGCTATTAAATATGTGATATGTAAATCAGAAAATGTGTGGTGGTTACTAAGGCACTGGCAAGTGATTAATTATTTGACTCCATAATCAAACACTACCTTTAAGACATTTTCTTGAATTTTCCACAGTACACCTCAAAAATGACTTTAAGATAAAGGAAGATAAGATGTAGTCCTCTTTCCGCTTAAGAAAACTTTCGTTCTCCCCTTGGTCATGTTCAGGGTCTCTTCTAAGCTGTTTTGTTGAAGACATGACACATTCAAGGCCTGCTAAATGATAATGGTTATTATTCTTCCAACATTGTTTCAACATATCCCCAGTGGTCAAAGTGTGTCTTATTTGGTCTCTTTAGTTCCATGAAAAAGAAATCCAGTGGATGGGGTATTGAAAGATAAGCAATACCTAAACACATGTCCAAAGTAGCCACTGTTAAGATGACATTTTCAAAAGCATTCTCTGTATGAACTGGTCAAGCTTTCTTTCCTTTTAAACTTCTTGTTACAGTCTTTCAGTTAACCCAAGCTCACTTTAAAATGTGTGAAAATAGCACCTCCTGAAAGTGTGTTCTCATATGCTTTGGAGCAATGGAGCGTGAATAGTAAAACAGCCTTTGCCAAACTCATGTAACTGAACAGGAGTGAATTTTTGCGTCCCATGACTTTGCAGAGCCAACCTATGTATCATTCCACGAGTGGCTTTAATACATCATAGACACCCAAGAGAAGGCAGGAAAGTCACAAATAAGTGACTCAAACTAATAAATATTTCATAGATTTTTTTTTTCATGGCAGTCTCTTTTAAATGAATCTGACTTCTTACCAAAAAACAAACTAAGTAAAGGTGTGGTTTTAGGATTTAAGCTCCTAGAATTAAAACTATGAAATTTATAAAGATATTTAGAAAAGTGTTAGTCTAGATGCTCTTTCATGCATTTTTATGACTAAATGCCCAAAGACGAACCAAGTCTGAACGAAAATGCAGACCACAAGAGTGGCAAAAATACAAAATTAAGTACATTTAAAGTATCAAAGCCAAAGAAAACAAACAATACAAATTTACAATTTCCAGGACACTTTATTGCAATTTCCACTTTACATATTAATTTAATATTTTTAGTCTAGGCAGAAGTGTTTATACTTATCCAGTAGTAGTCTAATCCCCTAATCTCACAAAATGAAAAGAAGCAGTTTAAAAAGAACATCGATTCAGGTATTTATGATATGGGGACAAGGGGCACTTGTCTTAGCAAGGAAAAGTGCTGGTGGTTTCTTCATAAGTTTCACTGAAATTTTTCTCTATTATTTCTGTTGTTGTGATGCAAAGTACTCATAATAAAAACAATCGCCCTCTTTGTCATTCTGCCCTTCCTTGGGCTTTACATTCTGTCTAGCATTTAACTCAAAAAGTCAGTTTACACTCAGTTTACACATTAAAAAAAAAACCATATGCCCCATCTCCCACACATCCAAATGGACGGGGATTAGAATTAACCTGCTTTTAGATGTAACAGTGCTATTTTAAACAATTTCAACCACACACTTGAAGGGTAAAATAAAAGTACAAGCCAAAAGAAAACATAAAAATTCCTACACACTTACTGTTGGATTAACTATTTCTCAAACCGTCGAGCCTAACATAGATTTCTTACAAGTGAAATAGACACAAAAGCGAATGCACGCTTCATATACAAACTGACACTGGTTCTATGGGGACAGCTCTCTTTGAATGAGCTATTACCCAGACGGTGGAATTAAAAAAAAGAGGGGGGGGTCTCACTCTTCCAATGTGAGAGAGCTGGCGGTGCGCTTCACTAGAAACACATTTTAATGGGTACGTTCGGATAAGAATAGGTAGTAAGGGAAAATGTGTTTAAAAAAAAAAAAAAAAACTCCTCCCTCCCCCGGGACACAAGGAAACCTGAAGGAAAAGACGGGTAACCTCATAAGCTCTGGAGCTAAGTTCCATCACTAGCCGAACAGAAGTTGGATAGTTGCTATTTTTCACCCTGCAGTTGGGATAGTAACTCTCCCTGTGCAAGGTACGCTGGGCGGGAATACTGGCGGGGCTTTCACTTGGGGTAAATGGAAACCAAAGTGAGGAGAGGTCAACACCTTGAGTAATCCAGATCTCCAAAACCAGGGCGGTGGGGACGCGGGGTGGCAAAGGAGAGAAGGGAAGGGTCCAAACTCCTCGAAGTTATCGCAAAGAGAAAGCGAACACCTTTGGGAGCCAGTGAGCCATCTCCTGTAGCAACACCCTGCTCCAAGTGTGGGGTGCCTGCCTCGGAGGGCAGAAAGCGCGGGGTGCCCTTACTTAGGTCGAGTGGCTCCGGGGACCGGGGCAGAGAGAGGGGCAGGGGCAGCCGCCGGCGGGGAGGCGGACTCATACTTTGCTTCAACTCTGAGCCCCATCCCGAGCGCAAGAGAGAGAGCGGCGGAGGGCACGGTACTCACTAGGGCTCGTTGGTGAACCGAGGGGTCCGGGGCTGCTGGTATCCGTACAGGTGACAGTAGAGCACATCGAAGCAAAAGCAGCACATCTCCGCTGACACCACCATCTTCCGGGAGCCGGGCGATGAGGACGAGGCGGCGGGCGACAAGGAGGGCGAGGAAGAGGTGGCGGCGGCCGGGGTAGAAAGTAGGGTCCCCACTCCGCAGCTCGGAGGAGGCGACAGGGAAATCCCCCCGCCGCCGCCGCCGCAGCCCTGGGGGGGAGAGAGGGTACAGCCGCTGCCGCTACCTCCTCCGGCTAGACCTCCCAGCCCGTTGAGCCGCGTGCCGGCGCCTCCTAGTCCCAGCTCCCCAGCTCGGCACTGGCTCTCTCCGCTGCAGTGGGAGGAGGAGGAGGCGCCACCACCGCCACCCGAGCCAGAGGGGGGCGAACTGGACAGTTTCTGCTTCTTCACCCCGCAGCAACCCGCCGCCATCTTGGAACAGTCTCCCCCACGCAGCGCTTCCGACCCATAAGTGAGGCGAGCTGGCGGCGGGGGCGAGCACGCTGCGGCCCCGGCCGCCGGGGGCGCGCCAGGGACTCACAGGGCGCGCGCGCGCGCGCGCGCGCCGCCCCCTAGCCGGCCGCCCGGCCACGCGGCCGCCCCGCGCGCGCCCCAGCCGCGCGCACCCTCGCCGCTCGACACCTCGCGCCTGTCCCGCGGGACTCGCGCCTCCTCCGAGGCGCAGCCTCGAGCTCTGTGGCCCTCAGAGGATGGATGAAAGACGGGAAGCCCAGTAGAAAGGAAGGAGAAGGAAACGAGAACGCCAAGCAGAGAGTAGGAGCAAAGGAAAGAGTTGGGCACGCCCAGGGAGGAAGAGAAAGGAAAACTAGTGGGGGCGGGGGGAAGGAGGGGAGAAAGAAGAAAGTCCGAAGTTAAGTATCCGAGTCCCAAAGCACAGCTCGATGACCGGCACTGCACATAGTGTTAGTGACATTTGAGCCGAGTTACGTGAAACCTGAGCCACCGGCCTCAAATACGCTGGTTTCTGAACTGCCGGAGCTGAGCAAGCAGGTGCTTGGAGCCCCACACCTGAGACCGCCCGTATAAACTATGTACAAAGCAGTCGGGGAAATGGCCACACTGCGGTCGCTTTAGTACCCATCTAAGCACGCACTTGGGGTTTTCCAAGATTATGGGAAAGAACAATACTCTTTCCTTATTGACAAATATTCGAGCCTGGTTGAATCTGTATCTCCCTTGTTCCCCCAACTTTCCCTGCCTCCCAGCCCCGTGCAAACGTTTTCAAAAGCAAAAAAAAAAAAAAAAAAAAAAAAAAAAAAAAGAAAGAAAAGAAAAGAAAATCCTAACCAACACCTCCCTAGTTCAAAGATGTTGATTGTGCTCTGAAACTTGCTGTGGTAGGTTATTGTCTTGTTGTTTGGGGTTTTGTTTGTTTTTGTTTTGGGGGGATATTTTTTTTTTGGCTTGGGAGCAAAGCCATTAGAAATATATCTATAGTCAGCACAGATCTTACAGGTAAATAGGGCAGGTGGTGCACTTAGTCACAAGTTGAAAGGTTTTGTTCAGGTATATAATTAGATAGTTCTTAGTATTCATTTAAAAAATTTCTCAATCAAAGAATGCTTGAATGAATGAGGAGGCGTGTGATTGAGTCAGTCCCATTCTGGGCACCTAAGACAAATCAAGAGTTAACATTCATAGAAATTAGCCTGACAGAAACAGAAAGTGTGAGTTATTTGCATTGTGTACACCGTACCAAAACATGTAGACAAAGGCAGGTGTCTCTAGTTTTGGAGGTATCAGAGGATTGATTGATTTTTGTCACCTTTGAGCCAAATGTGTGGGATCTTGCAAATAGCTGAGGGCTGTTCATTCCACTCAGGAGGAAAAAAAGGTTTATTCATGCAATAAATATTGAGCCTCTGCACCATCCTATGTGCATGACACTGTGCTTATGTCGAAATCCAGGAAATATGCTTCCCACTCCCAAAGAGTTTATGAATTAAGTCAGATCCGTGTACACAATCCAATAAATATCTACTATTTATCGAGGCCTTTTCAGGTGCCAAGTACTATGCCTTGCCTTACCCCACCACCCCTCAAAATAATATATTACCTCATTTGATCTTCAAAATAACCCTCTGAGGTTGCTCATTTACAGATGAGGAAATTGAACCTCAGAAGTAACTTGCTCAACATCACACACCTAGAAAGTGTTAGAGCAAGGACTTAAATGGCTGATTTCAAAAACCATGCCTCGCAATACCACTATGTCATAGCAAGATTAGTAATGGATAGAAGATGGGAACATTAAAACTACAGTGGGTGGGATGGAGGTTAAACAAAAATAACAATGTCATTGTTATGGAAAGATGGAGAAACACTACATGTTAAGATGAAAAACCTCCTTAAAAAGAGATTTTACAAAGTAGATCAGCTGTCAAGAATGGTTCAATGCAGCCCAACGACAAAAGAGAGGGGTTAACTGGTTTGTGATACACGATTTCATCCTCTCATCCTCTCAAACCTCATGGTCACTGTTAGAACTATCTTCCTGTTTGAGGCAAATAACAATTCACTGTCCACTACTAATGGAGTTTAAAAAAGCATTAATTTTTTGAGTCTATGTTGCAAAAGAGAAAGCAGATTGTTTTGTTTTGTTTAAAGTGCTCCACAACAACTGATACACTGTTAGGGTGTTTTGTTTTGTTTTGTACTCAAACTATCATGCCTACCTTTTAATTTGTTTGCAACTGGGTCAGATACTATATCAGACGATAGGTACTGATTTACTCACCATTCCACTAAGAAGTGAACACTTCTGGAGTAGAAAACCAATGCCATTCAATGTTTAGCAAAGGAAACAAAGTAGGATACCACGGATGGCTGCTTCTGCTGCGGGAATTTAGGAAAGCAGAATGTAATCTCCCAATTTAGAATCTGGCCAGTAGACAAGAGTCTAACGCCCCTACTCTTGTGAAAATAGCAAGGAATCTTTAATAAGCACCATAATCATGTCCTTATTTCTGCACATCATCTAAAAGACACAGCACTATCATGGCTATCATACCAGGCTAAGGGACTGATGCAATGGGAAACCCTGAGACAAGGACATCCCAGCTGAATTACAAAAATAGCTTTTCCCCCTAGGATTTTAAATGCCAATTTCAAGCCTCACAAGCATAAAGAAAATAGACAAACCCAAACAATGATTGTTGCAGAAAATACACCATTACCTGACTACTAGGAGTTATGGTATAAAGCACTTTGTTGTATTGGCTGGCTACGTACGAACAGAAAACAAAACAAAACAAAACAAAACAAAACATTAACCTTTTTCTCTGTGTTAACTTCTCCTGAGCCTGGCTCATATCCCATACTAACCTTGAGCCTCAACATGCTTTCCAAATCCTCTGGCAAGTAATAGGGTGGTGGTAATGCCTCCTTTTAGCCTTTGAGGAAAAGCCTCTCCTGGCCTTGTTTTCTTGCAAAGTCACCAGCATAGAAATAAACATATTTCATTCAAATATAAATGAAATCCACAGATCAAATTCTGGAAATGGGTTTTCAGTTGCTTTGTTGTTTGCTTGTTTGTTTGTTTGTTTGTTTTTACATCTAAGCATAGTGTACACTAGATGGGAAAACTGACCTTGCTCAGAATTCTTTTGACTTGAAGTATAAAGGTCAAAGTGTGATAGAGCACATGTGCTTCTACCCACTGCTGACACTGGAATGAAGTGATAATACCCTCCAGAGGAAACGTTAAGGTGTCTTCTGTTTTTTGTAACCCAACTGTCAAGCTGGGAGGTAAAGATTCCATGTCTCTTTTAAATAAAAAAAATAAAAAATAAATAGGCCATCTCTCTTTGTCAACAAAGCACATTCAAGCTATAAGCATTTCTGCTTCTGCATCTGCCTCTGAATGGCTATTAACTAACTCTTGTCAAATGTTTTGTTATACAACTGTGAAAAACTGCTTGAACAAAGGTTATGCACATTATTCGCTCTGTGGTAAAACTCGAAATTGAATTTAACCCAATAGTTACTGATTATTTTATCATTACCTCACTGTATTCACAGGTTTACAAACAGAGTTATTTTTTTTTTTATTTCGGGAACAAAGAGAATTTTTGTAATTCGATCAGGTAGTGAAAACTTGTTAATGTTGCAAAATTATTTTCTTAGGTTTCCCAGGGTATAGGTGGGACGAAGAATGTGCACATAGTTCAATGAAAAAAAAACTTCCATTTATGCCCAAACAAGTGTTATTTTTATCCTCTGTCATCAAACTTTCTCAACTGTCATCCTTGAACAACTGCAAAATGTAGTATTATTAGCTACCACTCTGATCTAACCTTGTACACATATAACACACGGTTGTAGTAGTGGAGGTGGTGTTTTGTAGTGTAATGAATATGCAAATAAGTACTGGGATTCTTTACCTACTTTTCAATTCCAATTGATGATCCACATTTTGTTTTCTTCATGACAAAACAGATCTTCCCTCCTGGGTCCTTTCTTTATCTCATGAACAATACTTTAATGAGCCAAAGGAGGAGGATCTACTTTGGACTGTTTTCTACTTGTTTCATTTATATCTTCCATGGTCAACTGGCGTGCAGACTAATTGAATGCTGTTGTGCTCGCTATTTCCTTGAGACAAAGTTATACAAACTCCTTAATGAGATTTAGTTATGCTAATAGCTACACCAAATGTGGAAGAATTAACAAAACTCACTAGTTGTAGCTTGGAAAAGGAAGCTTTTTCAGGAAAAGATGATCAAAAAGAGTATTATTCGTGCAGTAAGAGGGGTCATGTGCAAATAAAACCTGAAGGTGTCTACTGTAGTTCAGCTACTCTTTGCTTGGCTCTTTTTCTCTTTTCTCTCTTCCTTAAAGACTTCATCTCCTCTTCTCTAGGCATATAATGGGGCATGAAAATATATATACCACAACTGTGCCCCACCTCTGAATTTAATTATGGACATATAGTTATTTTTCTATAACTGCTCACCTCATGTTCTGGAACACCTATGCTAGTTGCCTGGCGGCACAGTTATAGACGAATGAGGAGTAATGTTGTCAATTAAAATATAAAAATATGTTCTAAATCGAATTCCCTTCTATGCAAATATCTGATTTAAAGTTCGGACTCACTCATGGCAGTGACGAGGGGACAGATCAGAGTCCCATGACTTCCTGGCTAAAGTGTAGCTCATTGTGCCTCACTCTACCCATGGCTTAAATGTCCAGAATTTATGGTTTAATCTTTCAGCAAGGACAATGCACAGTGATTGTGTCAGGTACACAGCCCTCTCTTCTTATTTGCTCACTGGAACAATTTCACCATCCCCCAGAAAAACTCCATCCTCATTAACAGTCACTTTCCATTTCCCCGCCCCCCCAGTCCCTGGAATCCGACAGTCTACTTTCTGTTCTTTTAGATTTGCCTGTTCTGGACATTTAATATA